CATCCTCTCCACTCAGTGATGACGAGGAACAGGAGCTCATCCCATCTGCATAAAGAGCAAACCACCACAAGAGGATTTGATGAAGGGACGGTTTAGTGTACTGTTTTTTGTGTGTGTGTGTGTGTGTGTGTGTGTGTAATAGGATTGTTCAAGGTACTCTCCAATCCAGGTAGAGTGCAGTGTTTTAAGTTATGTTTTTAATGTTATAATGTAGCTGTTGCTAGTGGGAGCTGCTAATCAATATATGATCTTAGAACTGGAAAGTTGATAAAAGTAGTCCTAGAATCTAGAAACTTCCTGTACTTGGCAGAAGCGAGAGTTAACTATAAATACAAAAATGAATGATCGATGAAAGGTTGAATGAATTCTTAATCAAATAAAGCTATTCAGGTTGCTTATACTTGATATTTATGTCAGCTAGTCAGTAAGTTAGTCGGGTTTGTTATCAATCAAAAAATGTTGTTAATCGTTATTTGTGTATTAGAGCTATAATAGTTTCGGAATTCGTGTTTAAAAGTTTTGATTTTGAAGTAAGGCCTATAGGTGAACGTTAAAGAAGAAATAAAATGATTTTATTGCCACATGGATTGGATCTCGCACTGTTTTTGCCATATAATCCAAAAGAACCTGCCAAACGATAGAACAGATTAGAACAATATATATAAATGGCCTTGGATCTGGAAAGTTAATAAAAGTAGTCCTAGAACCTAGAAACTTCCCGCACTCAATAGAAGTGAGAATTTATATATATATATTGAAGCATTCATTTGTTCATCCACGGTGAGAAGAATGTTTTATCGTCAGGATACATAAACAAATCCACTATATAATAAAGTAAATTAATAAACAACTACTAAAATAAACAAGAAATTACTTATCATATCCATTCCTGCTAAAACAATAACGTTAATATAAATCTATCAGAGCAAAAGGATGAAGAAACCATTAATTTATATAATCATAAACAGGAGATGAAAGAGTTATTATATATTTTTTTCTTACGCAGTTAATATTGTGCTATTAATATTATTGTTAAAAAAGAATATATATATATACCCGTATAACGTAAAACAAAACAAAAACAAGATGATAAAACAAATAAATACCAAATTAAGAAAAGTATAAAAACTTACAACATATCATTATATATACATTAATAATTAATAAACAGATAATTATCGAAAGTATTGTAATTACAAATTTATTATTATTTTTTTAAATTGCTAAATTTATTTCTGCCACTGTAAGAGTTCACTGCAAGTTTATTAAACTTGCGTAAGGTACAGAAAGACTTTGTAAATATTATGGATAATATATGTATATATATATATATGAATATGTTACGTGTGATCAAAGTTTTCCAACTAACTCTTGTTTCCCATATTGCTGGCTTCTTTTCTTTTTTTTTCTTGGCGTCCTTAGCAAACAACATGGCTGCCAAATCAACGTAGTCAATATCGTGTAGACGTTTGTATCTTCTTCCACGAAAACAAATAAATCGTTTATTTTTTGTTCTGGAGTAAAATCAAGATTACAATAAAAAATTTAAAATAGCAATATGTTATATTGTCTTACATATTTTTGAGAAAGATTATCAAATATTATTTGATTAAGCATTTGTGCAAGAATTTTGTTAGGCAAACGCGCTGGAATACAAATTTTAGCAAATGATGTGAGGAGGCAGTTGGCAACTGTTGCCCTTGGAATCAACGCCATACCGACGGTAACCCGGACAACCAAAATCTGTCAACAAGCTGGAATAGAAGGTAACTAATTTTAGTATTTTAGGTGAGCGTGTGTATGAGCGTAGAAGTTCTTCAAGTTGCTATGAAATATGACAGAAATTTGATCAGTTATGGTGCCTAATCACTCATTTATTCGGCATATTAACTATATTTTTAAATATGGTTTGGTGCGTGAGGCAGTTCTAGGCCTAACCCGTAACACATGTTTAGAAAATAGGTATAAGCTTAGCACTAATAATAATATTGAATAAGTATGTTGCTAACAGTAACATTTGAAAATATCTCATATGAAGAGTAGGCTTAACACTAACAGTTAGCTCGGCAACGGTTTTAAATTGATTGTAATAGTTACTTCTTCAAGTCCTTTTAGATAAATACGTGCTACTTGTTATAAATGTTAGGGCTTAGAGTCAGATTACACAGTATGTACATGTCTGAAAAGAACCACATATATTTCCTTTTCTTTTGGAAATCAGTAAGCCTGTTGATAAGTTCAGTTTCCGTTAACTTTGAGTTTGAACTCAGACTAACCCAAAAACAAAATGAAACTGGCTTATGCTGCATTAAAGTTTTAATTGAGTTAGACTTAACCAAAGTAAATAAGTCAAAATACCAATATAAATAAATTAGTGTTAAACTCTTGTTAGTATTGCTCAAATTAATATTTTAATAATATAACTCGTAATGTAAATCATCCCTTAGGATATAAAAGCAGTAATTATCTACACTCTTTATGAAGTGTTTTTAATATAGAGAAAATAGGCCTACTGTGAGCAGAAAGTATTCGTTGATTGATTAGTCTTAGCTTTCAAAATTTAAAATACACATACATTTATAAGGAAATGTTTTCAAATTAATGCACAATTAGAAAGATACATTACCTTATTTCATACATTGTGACTTTTAAGTAACAATCTGAGTTAAGTTCATTTTGTTTACTAATGGTAGGTAACTTTTGGTAAATTGATATCCAAGTTTGTTTGTTTTCTCATTCATGCATGAAATGTCTGGGAGAAAATGTAGGTTTGTAGTAATCATATCATGTAATACGTGCAACTATGATTGCTTTTTCATTTGTTATTGTGAACTAAGAAGTAATTGTATTTTCACTATTTACATTAAAATCGAGAGCTACTAAAGTTTTGGAATGTGAATCCTGCTTATTTAAAGACTTGTTATTTATCCTTCAGTGTGGAGATAACATTTAGTGATGAGTGTTTTATGTAATATCCACAAAAATGTTTTAAAGTTAATAATAAGAAATACAGCCTGTGTTTAGCGAGATGTTAGAAAATGATATGGCAGATAAAGAAGGTTCGTGGTACACATGATCCCTTTAACACGTTAACTGCTGCGATGCTTAGCATCATTTACGGCAAGTGTTGATAAGAGCTTTATTAGGAGATCATTGTGTTTTCAATTACGTAATAATAATAATAAAATTGAAACATTTAATCTTTACATTTCTGTACCTACGACACACATGTGCATTGTGGGCACATGCGAATGAATGTTAAACACGCAAATATGTGGATCTTCAGCAGTGAATGTGTTGAGAGGTGATAATAATTTGAGTCTCCCGTTTTAAAAGTGACTACGGTATTTCACTTGCTGAGCCAGTAGAGAATGACAAGGAAGTAGCCTTTTGTTGTCTCAACATAGCGAAAATCATTCTTGTTTTTTGTCAAAAAATAATATTTGTACGATCAGTACATTAGTTCATAATAAAAAGGGTAGTGGACATATTACCAGTAAGTTGATATGTGCACAAGAGAAAGTATTAAGTTAATATCAAAATATACATAGGTTGGTTATTTGTTCCTTGTAAAATGTTGTTTCTTAAGTCAAAGACTTGTCATTATTATTTTTAATATATAATTTCTCAAATATTAAACAAGGTAAAGATAAGTAAAAAAATAACATAACGTGGACAACAAGGGACCGTTTGCTCCTCCAAGGAAGTTGTCCTTTCACACCTACCTTTGAGGAATATAAAAATTTAAATCCAACCTTTAGTTTTCAGAAAAAATCACATTTAAATTTGTGCTGGGCTCCAATAATTTTTATCTGACTAGCTAAACTGGTAGAATTACACATATGAACTTTACATTTGGTATAGAAGGTAGTTTATTACAGTAAAGCTATTTTGCTGTATATCTTTGATATATGTTACTGGGATACCACATAAATATGAAAGTTAACAATAGTATATCTTTAAAAAAACACCTTTCGAAGCAGTAACAGACATATATACACACACACACAGCCTACCAATAAGTAAATAGAGAACCACTCCAGAAAGAAACATTACCATTATTATTATTCTTTATTGAATCTACCATTTGCAACATGTAAGACAGAAATGTGATAATACACCCACTGTATTTACAATACCCGAAATTGAGGATTGTATGATGGTGTCATGTATTATTTGTGCAGTAAAATGGACAATGTAATACACTACTTATTCAGATTGTTAGTATTATTATTAAACTTTAAAAAATTAACATTTTCCTTTTTAATTCCTCATGTTTATCAAATTCAAAGTTTAAGATGACCCATAGAGTTTTTTTTTTTTAGAAATGAGCACAATAAATTACTGGTGTAGTGGCAATTTCCATTGTTTACGAAATAATTACTACAGTATGTAGGACAAATGGTCCTTAATCTTTTTTACCCTTTTTTGTATAAAAAGTAGACAATTTTGTTAAAGTAAATGTACTTTTAAAAATATGAATTTGTTTGAAAGAAATCCGTCTAGTTCTTCAAAAATTTGGTATACTTAATTATGAATCAACTTTCAATTTTTTATTGCAAGTGTAATTTTTCATTAGATTTACTTGTGCATTTTAATGAGGAAATAGTAGTTTATTATAAATATTTTTATAGCACATAATATGTTAGTTGTGGATTTGAGCAGTATTGTTGAGTATGCACAACCATAAGTGCACTAATTTCAATCAAAACAGTACCATGTCAGACAATCATGACATCTACGACAGTGTGCCTGACACGCTGTTACCCAATTTTCAACTCTGATTCGATGGAAATCATTTGTGGTTCGTCAGTGGTTTTGGGTTTATTTTTAGATATCCTCCAGTATTGTTTGAAATCAAAATAAAACTTTTAGAATCGATATCCAGAGGTTGCATAACTTAAAGGATGGGTACATTTTTTTAGGCCACCCCGTATATATATATATCACAGAATACCTGAAACTTCCGTTTTACTTAAGTAATAAAATCAGTACTTACTAATAGATTGTAGATTCTTGATAAAAATTCTTCATAATTGTCTCACTTATTGATATGTAAGATGTGCTAACCTTTGACTGATGATGTAAAATTACATGGTAGTAAACTGACCAGTAATGAATTACGCTGATAATTGTTTATGCTGGTAATAGATTACAAGACACAACCATACTCTGGTATTGAACTTAAATAAGAATGTCCTTAGAAGGTGGTTGTTTGGGATGCTTTTGCAATGAACTATCAAGAATTAACCACATATGCTCAATAGGGTCCATATCTGGCATTTGGCTGGGCTACAGGAGAATGATTATGCCCTGACTTTAAAGCTGTTGTTTATAACTGATAGCTTGGTCTGAATGAACAGGAGCCCTAACTCGATTGAAAACATTGCTTTGTCTGGTCACTCACATAGATAGATGGAAGGCCATGCTCATGAATTGGGATGTATCAAGCAGCAGTGACCCTCCATTTGGCTATCACCAGCTTTAATTATCCAACTACCCAAATGAAAGTGACTGGGAGGATAGTCTCCAAATTTAAGTGTATCCATTATCTAAGAATTGTGTGAATCTGGACTCCAGAAAAAAAATGACAATATCTCAGAAAGTAAGAGGATGTGAAAGCATCTTCGATGACCACTGCTATTGATCTACAATATTGCCTGGAGTGAGGACTGGCTTCAATCTAGCTACTCAAAACCATTGTAGCCTCTGCAGTGAAGATGGTATTGGGACCCACTGCAGCTGTTCTGAAACATGTAGTGGTCATTTAACACGAGTCTTTTTTTTTTCTACGCTTCTCCTTAAATGG